ACAGTGCTCACCAACATGCTGGCCTGGGCAGCAGACAGGGGCAGGGGCAGAGCCTGCACCCGGGCCGCTCACCCACCAGGCCCTGGGCCTTGCTGCTCCAAAGAGGACATGGGAAAAAGTAGGTCTTGGCATTTCTGATGAAAATAATCTCTCAATAGTATCACACTCTTGGAAAAGATGACACAATGCACCAGGCTGCCTTGCAAGGACCTGAGGCTGACACCATGGCAGACAGGTCAGGCTAACACACAGTTTATTGTGAAGGCTCAGAGCCCTGAGCCCTGAGCCACCTTGACCTCCAGAGGCTTCAAGGTCAGCAGCATGGGCTCTTGGCATGCTGGTGGGCAGCCATGCCTGTGTGACTGGCCCCCAGGGGAAACCCTGCATAACTGGCTCAGGTGAGCGAAGTCCATGCAAGGTCACCCAAGGAGTATGTGCAACATAAGGCACAGCCGTCTGCCTGGGGTAGCATGGCCGGAAGATGGTGCTGAGTCCTGGACCCTGCCCCACCCACCTCTACACTGACCCGTGCCTTCTTTTGCCAAAAGCAGCTGTAACTGTGAGTATAACAGCTTTTCTGGATCCTTTGAGTTCTAAACAGTCACCAGGCTTCCGGACACTCAACGTGCAGCCCCTGCTGGCTGAACGGCCCAGGAAGAGGACGGGAGCTGGGCCCTCCCAAGCAGGCTCACCTCTTGCAGAGCACGTGCAAGTGGGGAAGTCCCCAGTCCAGGATGTGCTACAAGATGCGCTGGCCATCAGTGCAAAGAGACACACAGCACCCCCGTTGCAGGCCTGGGTAGGGCCTGGGGACGTGGGTTGGAAGAACCCTGCCCAGGACTGGATGGGACCCAGGACTTACCGGCTGGGCAGGCCTTGCAGCAGTGGCCCGCTATCAAGTATTCGCTGGGGCTGCAGGACTGGGAGCTTGGAAGCCCCTGGCCCTGTGTGAAAACCACACTGGTTTCGGTGATTGCCTGTAGGTGGAGGAAAACAAGGAACGATTACTAGAAGTTTCTTATCTGTGCTGATGCTTCCTCCAGAAGCAAAGACAATCCCCGCGAGTACCCCCCTCCCCCCTCGATCCTTCTCTCCTCCGTCCCCCCACCTCTCTCCTTTCTCTGCGACCCCCCACCCTCCCCGCACCGCCTGGGGGCCTGGGGGTTCGGGAGGGAAAGATTCCCCACTGCGACCTCCTCAAGCTGGGTAACTGGGTGTAGTGTGTTAACGGTTTACTTTCTGACTCAAAACTCCCGCTTCCCCCGGTTTTCCTCTAGGGTAACCCTGCCGGTGCCAGCCTCACTGGAGCGCGCGCCCATCCCCTGATCTGGGGGTCCTCCCACCGCGAGCCCCGCAGCCCAGGCCGGGCCCCGGCAGCGCAGTCCCACCTGATTCAGGAGCAGGAGCCAGGGCAACACTACCTGCAGCGCGGGCATCCTCGGACAGAGAGGGAGCGCTCGGCGCCCCCGGGTATAACTAGCAGCCCCCCCCACCCCGCCCCGGGCACCACCCACCGTCAGTTCCTCCTCCCGCCGAGCAGTTCCCGACAGCGCGGCCAGGGCCTCGGTGACCCCGCCCCGAGGAGGACGGAGAGGTTGGTACTAAGCTCCTGCTCCCGGCCGCCCGCCCGGGTGCCCAGGCTTGAGGCGTCGCCCTGGCTGTCCCCGCGGCGGGACCACGGGCTGGGCTTCGGGCTTCGGGGTCTCCGAGCCGGTCCTTCCCCGCCCGCCCCGAGCTTTAGGTGTCTCTTCAGGGGCGGGGAGGGCGTCTGCACTGCCCCTCGGAGGTCCCCAGACGCGGCCCCTCCTTGGCGAGCGCGCCGCCGCCAGCCTGGCCTCCCGCCCTCCCGCGCGCTCCCGCGCCCTGCCCCCGAATGCGCTGGGGGCCAGGACTTGGGCTCGAGCAGCAGCTGTGCCAGCCGGGCCATAAAGAATTGATGCTTTCGCACTGTGGTATTGGAGAACTTCTTGGACAGCTGATTGGTTGGCGATCCAACCAGTCAATCCTAAAGGAAATCAGTCATGAATATTCACTGAAGGACTGACGCAGAAGCTGAAACTCCAATCCTTTGGCCACCTGATGCGAAGAACCAACTCTTTGGAAAAGACCCAGATGCTGGGAAAGATTGAAGGCAGGAGGAGAAGGGGACGAGAGAGGATGAGATGGTTGGATGGCATCAGTGACTCAATGGACATGACTTTGAGGAAACTCCAGGAGTTGGTGATGGACGGGGAGGCCTGGCGTGCTGTATTTCATGGGGTAGCAAAGAGTCAGACACGACTGAGCGACTGAACTGAATTGAGCAGCCGCGAAACGCGAGTCTGTCTCCACTCTCTGCTCAACCTGTGGCATCTTCTTACAGCCCGTGGGAGCCACATGAGTGGGGGAGGGGTAAGATGGATGGGGGTGGCGGTTCAAGGGGAGGAGACCCATCCTTCCTGAGAGCAGGGTACAAGCCAGGCACATCAACAGGGGCGTCAGGCCCCTTCACTCCTAAACCTCCTCCAACATCCCCCCCTCGCCCCACCTAGAATCCCATGCTCCAGGAGGGGCCGGCCAGCTGTTGAGTCTCTGAGCCCTGAACGGACTCAGCATCTGCTAGAAAGTCTTTCTACTAGAAGTTGCTGTCAGTTCCCCCAAAGCGGTGACAAGGTGAGGGGACAGTCACAGTGTAAGTTCCTCCTGCTGCTGTGGGGAACCTAGAGAGCAGGGTGTGGCCCTGGGCCCAGGCCCTCCTGAGTTTCCACCCGCCCTGACCCCCATTCCATCCTCTTCCTGCCCAGCTGCCCTGGGACACTGCCAGCCACTGGATGGGCCAGGAAGGCGGTGCTGAGTGGGGTAGGGGGTGCAAAGCACAGCTCTGAACCCCACATCATTCTAGATTTTTCACCACCAGCATCTAGATGCCCAAGAGTTGACATGATGGACCCGGAAACCAAGTCCAGGTCCTCACTGCTTGGAGGAACTGCCTGACACAGAAGCGCATCCTAACCATCTATCTGGGCATTGGCCACCTGGTCCCCTGGGACTATGCCCACCCAGCTTTCTTGTCATTTTTCATTGTTGATTTAGACGAGCTCTCGGCCTACCAAGGACAGGAAGAGAATTCTGGAGGAGACTCGAGGCTGCAGGGGGCAGGGGTTGGAGGGGCTGGTGGCAGGTCTGCCCTGAAAGGTCCAGGGTGCAAGACTGGTGGCCCAGGGCGTCAGGTCCAGGGTAGCCTGCCTCAGTGGCAAGGTGCAGACCACTTCAACCTAGAGAGCACCCTCCCACCCGCCACAGGGAGTGAAGCCACATAGGGATCAGAGTCAGTCTGGGAACACTGCCCTCAGAGCGGGTACTGGGAGTCCCGTGTGCCTGATGCAGGCGGGAGGGTTGGGACGGCGGGAGGGCAGGGACGGCAGGGCACACCTGCCCGTTCCTCGGCCCCAGCCCATGTCCATCCTGTCCCGCGATCTCTCCCTCTTTTATCCTTCACGTCCGTCGGCTGTGGTCTCCCTGTACTGTGGGGTGTGGTCTACAGTCAGCTGCCCCCACCCGCCCCTTCGGGGCATCCTGGGCTGTCCCAGCGTAGGCCAGCCCACTCCCCTGGAACTGGCAGTCAGGAGTACTGGGAACGGTGGCCACAGTGGAACCGAAGGGCTGCCTGGGGGCAGCTGGAGGGGGGGGAGTGGGTTCTGATTGTGGGGAAGGGACCAGGCCAAATGCCCCCTGGAGTGCCCCATGGGCAGCGCCCCCGTGTCCTTCGCTGGCTCATCGGCTGCTGGATGGGCCTCCTGCACTGGCTCCCCAGAGGTGTGTGGGGGGCGGGGGCTGCTGCTCTCTGCTTCCTGCAAACTGCATGCCCCTGCACGCCAGACCTCTTCTCGCTATCCTCAAGGGCTCAACCCTTCCCTGGGCCCCTCCAGCCCCAGACAGCTTCTGCTGGCATCGAATCTCTCCCCTGAGACACCCTAACCCTACTGGTTTCCAGAATTTCCCCCAAGAAGGCAGCACACAACCTGTTTATTTCACACATGGAGATGTGTCCCCAAATTGGAGGACGGGCAAGAACATGGATACAAAACTGGTCAGCTCAGATGTCACCACCACGGCTTAATTTACGGCTCCATCTGTGTCTGCATGTGCAGAGCTTCACACACACACACACACGCACACATGCACACACACAGGCACAGGCACACACACGCGCGCGGCATCTGACACAGGAACAGAGGCCAGTTGACAGACGCTGTTCGCAGTCTGCCTAAAATATTGCAATTGCGTTTATTAAAAATGTGTGGGAAGGGAAGACCGTGCATCCATCTGAACAAAGTGTCCCCCCTCGGGCCCAGGCCGGGGATGCGCCCCAGGCACGCCACGCTCACCTGTGCCCGCCCCAGCTTGGCATGTCCGGGCTGAGGGAGGTGGGCCGGGCCTGTGAAGTGTATGAACAGGGCCCCACCGTGCAGACAGCACAGGGGTCGGAAGGAAGCCCCATCGCAGCTCAGCCGGTGCCCAGGGGACCCCTGGAGCACGTCCAGGACAGTGTGGGCGGGGCCTCGGGAAGCGACGCTCCGAGTGTTGGGCCCCCAAGAGGACCTGGCGTGCCGGCTTGCTCCTCAGAGCCCCCACTCACCCCTGCTGAGGGGCAGCACCCGGAGCCCCGCGAGCCCCCCTGCCCCTCCGCCAGCAGCCCCCCGAGGCTGCCCGGGGAGGGGGCGATGAGGCAAGGCTGCCAGGGAGCATGGCCCAGGGTGAAAGTGGCATTTGGCTTCAGCATTAAGGCCAGCGCGAGGCGGAGGGCCCTGTGGGAAAGGCCAGCGCCTCGCCAGGGGTATCCCGTGTGGCACCCCCCCCCAGGTCCCTCCTGCTGTCCTGAGGCCGTGGGCCCCTCCGTCCACGGGGGCTCACTCTGACTCCATGGGGCTGGCTTAAAGTGCTAGGTGCCTGAGAGGGAGGCTCAGCTCCCCACTGCCCCCAGTCCTGCAGACGATGCCCCCGCCGTCACCACAGGGTTCTTATTTGAGGACGTAGTTAATGAGCAGCTGACATGCCAGGAACACGCAGAGCAGGAGCCAACAGCGAGGGCGGTGCAGGGGGCCTGGGGCCGGGGCCTGCCTGGCGCGGGCCGTGGAGCTCAGCATGGCCGAGAGGTGCCTGCAACGAGAGGGCGCGGCGGTTCAGCCAAGGCCAGCCAAGCAGCATGATGAGGAGTCCGGCCCTCAGGTGAAAACAGGGCTGGGGGCTCGCGTGGGGGAGGGCCCCAGGGCACGGTGGCCGCCTGGGGCTCCCTGGGCACACCCTCCAGGGACAGGGTCAGGGCTAGCGGAGCTGGGGCTCTCACATCCCCCCTCCCACCTCCACTGCTGTGGGCTGAACGGCGTCTGCAAAGTCCTGCGCTGGAGTCCTGACCCCCGGCAGCCAGAATGCAACTGTTTGGAGATGTGACCTTTACAGAGGTAAATAAAGTAATGGGGTCACTAGGCTGGGCCCTCATCCCACAGGACTGGGGGTCCCTGTAAGAAGAGGAGGTCGGGACACAGACACAGAGGGGCGACCCTGTGAGGACGCGGGGAGGAGACAGCCGTCTACATGCCCAGGAGAGCGGCCTGGGGAGGACCAGCCCTGCTCTGATCTGGGATTTCCAGCCTCCAGGCTGGGGAGGGGCAAACACCTGCAGCTGAAGCTGCCGGTCTGGCGCTTGGCTGGCAACCCAGGAAAGCTGCAGCTCTGTCCTGGCCTCTTGACATCACTGTGTCTGGACCAAAAGCCAACGCTTTTGGCTGTTTTCCACCACCTCCCTCGCAGCAAAGCAGGAAATCTCCTTCTATGGAGAAGGACCCCCCTTCCGGTTCCCACGTCTTCCGGGCCAGGCTCCTCCATCTCGGTCTCTCACCTCAACTCCCCCTCCTCCTGGCAGCGGCCATCCTGTGGTGCCTGCACCCTGGACTGACCTCTGCGTTCCCCATTTCCAGCTCTGCCCTGCCCAAATGCATCCTCCTCCAGGAAGCCCTCCCTGATCATGGAGACCACGTTCCTCCCCGACTCTCACAAGGTGTGAGTCTCCGTCTCCCTTGGCCCTGCACAGCATCGTGGTGGAGCTGGCACCAAATGATGAGAAACGCCTCTGGGCCCCCTCAGGTGAGGCGCAGGGGAAGTAGGACTGGCCTCATCACAGGCATGAGGTTCTAGGCTCCCAAGAGCAGCACAGGGTTCACAGCTGCCCAGGGCTCTCAGGCGCCAGGCTCAGAGCACCACCCTCCGCCCCGTCTCCCTCCTGCCACAGGGGCATTGCTGTCACCAGTTCACAGATGGGGAGACTGAGGCCCAGACAGCCCAAGGTTTTGCAGCTCAGAGACTTGCAGCCTTGACTGGAGCGTGGCTCTGAGGCAAGGCTGGCGAGCAGGGGTCTGTCTCCTGGTGGGGGGCGAAACCGAACGTGTTCCCAGGCCTTCCCGACATGACTTGGCCCGCTGTTTCCGAGGTCCTACTGGTCTTGGGGCTGGGGGGCCACTGCCCCAGCACCTCCTTCCAGCTTCTATCTGCCCCGCCCCCCCCAACCCGTTCTCCTGGCTCCATCAAGCCCCGGCTGCTTCCAGCGTCTCCCGGCCAGCTCAGGCTGTTCACACACCAGTCCCTGCCCCGACTGCTCCTCGCAGATGGCAGAACCCATGAGGTGCCAGGGCCTCGCTCAGTAAGCAGACCCTCTTAAGTCCTGAGAGTCTGCAGCCAGAACGACAGTCCCGATGGAGGCCCCCGCCCCACCCCCAGCTCAGGCCGTCCTGCGCTCTAACCCCTCGCCCCCGGGGCTGGTCCCCCAGGGCGGCCCACCTGTGCAGCTCTTGCTGGGCCTCCCGGAGGGACAGGGTCGCCTCGTGCAGCGCCTGCAGCCGCCTTGCCTCCTTCCCACACCGAGGGCACGGGCTCTTGCAGCCTAGGGGCGTCGGGGAGACGTGGAAGGAGCGGGATGGGCGTGTGGGGGCCTGGGGCCACGGCCCGCCTCCCTGCAGCCCCTGGCACAGGAGGGCGATGGTGCCACCCCGGAGGGAGCTCCCAGGCTCAGCCAGCCTCTGAGAAGCCCAGGGGGGCCAACTGGGGAGACAGGCACTCCCGGAAGACAGGGGACCGAGAGGCCGGAGCCCACCCGAGTCACAGACCAGACAGGCAAGCCCCGCCCCTCGCCGGGCGCCCCGCCCCCAGTGCAGACTCGGAGCCCGGCCCCGCCCCCGGCCCCACCCGGCTTCCCGGGTCCAGAGGTCTCACCCGGAACAAAGTCGCCGTCCTCCTCCTCCTCCTCGTCAGAGAGCTCGGGGCAGGACTCGGGCGTGGAGCCGCTGCTCTCCGTGACCTGGCTGTGGCCCGAGGGCTGGTCGCTGGGCTTGCGGAGCCGCGGGTTGGGGGCGGACCCCTGGGGGGAGACGGAGCGGCTGCGCGGGAGCCTGCCCACACCCACCCCACCCGCGGGGCCACCTGAGCCCTGGGGGACCCTCTGGGCTGCCGCTGGCCGTGGGGCGGTGCTGCTGGGTTTAGGGCAGGGCGGCCGTGGAAGAGGCGGCCGGCAGCGGCGGAGGCTGCTGGCTCTGGGTGGGTGACAGGCCTGGCCCTGACCTGACTGCAGCGCCCACCCCGCCGCCCCCCAGACCCCCATACACGGGGGGACGACGGGTACGGGGCCATTGGCTCCGGAGCCGGCAGCGCTGACCCTCTCAGCGCGCGCCGACGGCCGGGGCGTCCCCAGCGTGGACGCAGGGACCCCCCGGGGCTGGCAAGCCTCAGAGCAGCCTCTGGAGGTCAGGGGTGGTCGCGTGACCGCAGGCCTGTCCCCGCGAGGGCCCAGGAGGTGCCCGACACCCTGCTGGGGCAGGGGGGCTTCCCACACAGGCAGGTTTTGGGGTGTGGGGCCCCGCGCTGACGAGAGAAGCTGAGAAGAGGGAGGAGGGTGAAGAGGGGTGCCGGGGGAGATGCGTGCGGGAGGGACCGGGGCCATCTGGTCCGGCCTGAGGGGCTGCGGCATTTCAGGGAAGGGGCTGGGACACATGGCTGGGGAGGTACCTCGGGGAAATTGGGGCCGCTGGGCAAGATGGGGGAGCCCACCTCTCCCTGCCTGGGGGAACAGTGTCCCCCAGCTGTGTGCACAGTGGGCGCCCAGCGGGCACTGTTCCACACGTGGGGCCACCCCAGGCTCCCCAGAAACGGCACCTCTGCCAGAGTGCTCCTCCCTTGTGCTCCCCAGGGCCTCCTGCTGTCCTCCCCACCCCTGCCAACCCCCTGCCTCTCCCACCCTCCTCACCCACCCACAGAGGCCCAGGCGTCTCTGTAAATGCAACCTCCTCCTCCTCCTGCCGCTTGGGCAAGCCCCTGGGCTGCCCCGAGCCTCAGTGTTTCCATCTGTACAATGGGACACTGCCCCGCCAACACCACGGAGGATGCTTCTGGGGAGCGACGGGGCAGGGCCAGTGCACCCCAGCACAGTGCCCTGAACATCGGGGTGTCCCAGGAACTGCATGTGCTGTAAGTCCAGGGGTCTTGGCCCCTTGCTGGGTGGGGAAGGGTGGGACAGGGACCCAGGGGGACACCAGGGGAGACCCTGATGTGTGTGGGTCAGAGTGTGATGGGGACTCAGAGGAGGAGGGCCAGGTTAGCTGGGTGTGAGGTGGGGGCAGAGGACCCCAGGCCAGGCCCAGGGGCGGTTCTGACCTGGCGCCTGGGCCCCGGGCTGCCCAGGAAGGCGGTCTGGCCGGCCATGGTCTCCCGCTGCAGGGTGTGCAGGACCCCGTCTTGCTCAAACTGGGCGACGTCCTTCATGGGGTCCCAGGGGCTGTGACTGGAGGGTCCAGAGAGTGCGGGTAGGCAGGGGCGGTGGCCCTCCAGTGAGGGCCCCTCCCGGCCCAGCCCTCAGCCCCTCGTCAGAGCTGGAGCCCCCAGGGGAGTGGCCACAGCCTCCCCCACGTGAGCAGCCCCCGCGTGACCTTCCCTTCCCCTCACTCAGGGCCAGGACAGTGGGGGTCTGCTGGGCGACCCCCGAGGGGTCCAGGCCGCTGTCTGCCAGCACTCACTTCTCATATCGGTAGCACCACTCCTGGGTGGCAGGGTCCAGGTGGAAGAGCTGGGGCGTCCAGGGCACCAGGTTCTGCTGACGCTCTCGGGCCCGCTGCCGCTGCGCCTCCTCCAGGAAAAACTTCTCCTGTGTGGCTTTGTGCTGGTCACCCTCGCTGATGGCCCTGGTGACGTGCTGCCAGAGCCTGCGAGTGCAGCACCCGCTCTGAGCCAAGAGGACCTGGGCAGCCTTGTCCCTTCACACTAGAGGGGAGGCTCAGAGCAACCTCCACTTGATTGCCTCCAGCGACAGGGAGCTCACTATCTATCAGGGTGCCCGTCTTCCCCGGGCACTGTTTATTTACCATGAGATGGTCTTCCCTATGCTGGGCGCACACTTGGCACCAGCAGGGTCCTCCCTACAGAGCTCACTCTTCCCCAGGCCTCCCTTTCTCTCCCTCCAGCTTCGCACAGCCAGACGTGGCCTCTGCCACCAGGAATCCCCTCAGGTCTGTCCTCCTGCCAGGGACACCCAGGGAACATGCATCCAGGGGATCACAGCTGCCAGCCCGGCCGCTCCGGCTGGGGTCAGGGGTCCTGAGCGCCCAGGCCTCACCTCTCCGACTCCAGCTCCATCTGCTCCCCCAGCAGCACCGTGTACCGCTTCAGCCGCTGCCTGCGCACCTCCTCGCTGGGGTTCCAGAAGAGGTCGGCGCCTCCTCTGCCCTCCTCCTTGATGAATACTTCCCTGTCCTGTCCCAGATGGTCGGGCAGGTCAGAGGTGCCGGCCGTGGCCTCCGGAGTCCGGACCCGCCCGCGCCTGCCCGGAGGCGGTGTCTCACCCAGTGTCCCGTGAGCCGCGCCAGGACCTCCTCGCCCGACGTGATCTTCCCCGAGATCTGGTTGATGCTTGTGCTGCCCCCGAAGAAGGGCTGTGGGAACACGCCCGAGACGGACGCGGGTGAGGGTGCCGAGCTGGGGAGGAGGAGGGGCCCCTTCCTCATGGGGGTGCGAGCTCCCGCCCCGGTGCACAGCGGGGGCGGCCACACGCGCCCGCGGCCCAGCCGGAGCTCCAGGGTGCAGGCTCCCAGCCAGGCCTTCGTGCCACACGGTGGGGACGGGCCTGGGCCTCTCCTGGCTCTGCTGTGTGGTCTGCAGGCAGCCCCTTCCCCTCTCTGCGCCCCTCACAGGCTCCGGCTGTGCTGCAGGAGGGCCCGGAGCCGCTCGCCCGTGTGCCCCTGCTCAGGAAACCATCCCTGGGGACAGAGAGGGTGGCAAGGCCCCCCCAAGGCCTCGCCTCTCCCCGCCCAAGCCCCACGCCCCCCAAGGCCCTGGGCCGCCGAGCTGCCTGCGCTACCTTGAGCTTGAACTCCAGCTCAGCCTGCAAGCTGTTCTTCTCACACTCGATGGTCACCCTGCCGCCCAGCTCCATGGTCATCGTGCCGTAGAGGATGCCTGCAACATAGCCACGGCGGTGGGGGTCAGGGCCGCCCCGGGGCCAGCTGAGCCCCCAGGCCTCGGTGGAGTCCCAGCAGCGCTGAGACGGGAATGAGTGTCAGGCCCCGAGGGTGAGAAGGGAGCGGGTGGACGGCAGGTGTTCCCGGGGGCCAGCGCTGCCAGGATGGTGAAAATCGGACCTGGCCCCTTGCTGGCCCGCTACCCCCAGCGGACACGGTTCCTGGCCCCAGGGCCTTTGCTCATGTGAGTTGCTAAGTCTCAGAGACACCCCCACCCTTAACTGGGTCACCGCCTCCAGGAAGCCCCTGTTGCAGGTTCCCAGGAGCCCCACTGTCCCCTAGGAGACCCTCATCACTGTGGGTCACTTGGCTCCGCAGTTCCTGCCCCTCGTGGGTCTGTTTTAACTTAATACGTCAATGTTTTAATTAGTGAAGGAAAGCACGAGTCTTCTATCTCTGGTCAGATTGAAGGCTTACTCTGAAAGACAGAAAGAAATGAGGAAGGAAGGGGAGAAGAGAAGGAAGAAAGGAAGGATCACTGTCACCTTAAGACACTTAGAGATGTGGGATAAAATATGTCTTTTGAAACTTCTTAAAAAACACAAGCTAATTGAAGTAGCAACATGGCGGGAATCACCCCCAAACCCTCCTGGCACCCAGTGGAAAAGCCACACTGAAGGGAGAGTGCCTCTGAGCTGCTTGGGCGCTTCTCCAGGACAGAGTGGCATGGGCTCACAGAAGCAGGTGTGGGGCCCCGTGTGCGGGGGGAGGGCACCAGAGACCCCAGAACTGGCTATACCCAGCTTTGTAGTTTTGACTTTGGAACGAGGTACATGTTTTCATTTACAAAATTATTTTAAAGATGAAATAGCAATTCCTAAAAATCCAAAGTGCAATGAAACCAAAGACCAGAATGAGTGTCCCTTGGTGGCGTGATCTGAGTGGGGAGGATTCAGCATCCTCACAGATCCCAGTGGAACCTACTGAAGATGGGAAGGAGTGCAAAAATCACAGCCTTCATGGGCTTCCCTGGGGGCTCAGATGGTAGAGAATCCGCCTGCAGCGCAGGAGACCAGGGTTCAGTCCCTGGGTCGGGAAGACCCCCTGGAGAAGGGAATGGCTACCCACTCCAGTATTCTTGCCTGGAGAATCCCATGGACAGAGGAGCCTGGCGGGCTACAGTCCATGGGGTCGCAGTGACTCAGATAAGACTGAGCGAGGACTTGCACGTCACGCTGTCTCCAGCCATCATCCTGCGGGCGGACAGGGCTGTGTTGTTATGGGTGCTGTGGGTGGGGTGTGAGCAAGATAGAAAGTGAGCGTGGTGGGCTTGTTGCTGCTGCTAAGTCACTTCAGTCGTGCCCGACTCTGTGCGACCCTGTCCCTGGGATTCTCCAGGCAAGAACACTGGAGTGGGTTGCCATTTCCTTCTCCAATGCATGAAAGTGAAAAGTGAAAGTGAAGTCGCTCAGTCATGTCTGACTCTTCGCGACCCCAGGGACTGCAGCCTACCAGGCTTCTCCGTCCATGGGATTTTCCAGGCAAGAATACTGGAGTGGGGCGCCATTGCCTTCTCCGGGTGGGCTTCTTAGGTAGCTAGAATAGGGAAAAGGAGTCCAAAATGGCGGTGGCTAAAAGACCTGGAAGGGAAAAGCCCACGAAAATAGAACAAAGGAAGGTCCGAGGACCGGAGTGAGGTCTTCAGGTAGGACAGCACTCCTGGCTGAGCCCAATTTGCATAGGGTGGGCCCAGGGGGAAGAGAATATATAAAAGGAGGAGCGAAGCATGCTCTCTCCCTGCCACGTGCGTACGCTCTTTCTTTCTTTCTCTCTCTCACCCACCCCTCCCCACCGCACGCCGGGGCGCTCCTCCACTCTCTTCTCTTTTTCAAGGATGGATTCTCCTGCTATCTTCTAAATAAAATAGAGCTGTAATGCTGATTTGTCTAAGAGCCATGACTCGGTTTGTCCAGACCCGAGAGCTGAGACGCGCCGAGGGTTTTAATGTCCGTCGCTCCACATCTTTGTTGTGACGAGACGGAACCGAGCACCATACACTCGCCTGACAGGCTCATGGAAACGGGCTGTCTTCTATGGGAGGAAGACATTTCACATGCGGTGAATGGGGCGGACAAAAACCCACAGTCTTGAATCTGGATTGGAAATATAAGTGTGAACGCATCTGTTTTAATCTTAAAAAAACAAAACAAAACATTCTATGTTCGGTTCAGTGGAAAGCCCTAGGGAAACAGAGACCAGACCACTCAAAGGAAGCAGACCTCACCTCCAGACAATGGTGTCTAAGTCTAAAATACCTCTTCCTACTGGAAAGAACCAGAGGCTCCCTGGAGAAATGGCTGATTCACGGGCTAGAGCAGGAAACGCCAGAGTCTCCTGGGATCCCGGCAGGAGGAGGCAGGCCGCTCAGGCTGGGTGTACCAAGGTCCCAGGGCCAATCTGAGGGCTCCCGCTGGTCAACATGGCAGCAGGAGCAGACAGCGTGATTCCAGCTGGAACACTCTTAATGATCATGCATGTTCTGATCAAACCATGCTCAAAGCAACATGACCTCACCCAGGACCACCTCTGGAGGAGTTCAGGGGGGAAACTCATTACTGTTTTGAAAACGCCAGAAACATTATATCAACAGCCTCAGATATGCAGATGATACCACCCTAATGGCAGAAAGTGAAGAGGAACTGAAGAGCCTCTTGATGAGGGTGAAAGAGGAGACTGAAAGAAACTCAACACAAAAAACTAAGATCATGGCATCTTGTCCCATCATTTCACACACGGCAAATAGAAAGGGAAAAAATGGAAGCAGTCACAGATTTTATTATCTTGGGCTCCAAAATCACTGTGGACAATGACGGCAGCCAGGAAATTAAAAGACACTTGCCCCATAAGAAAGCTATGCCTACCCTGGACAGTGTATTAAAAAGCAGAGGCATCACTTTGCTGACAAAGGTCTCTATAGTCTAAGCTATGGTTTTTCCAGCAGTCATGTACAGATGTGAGAGTTGGACCATAAAGAAGGTTGAGTGCTGAAGAATTAATGCTTTCGAATTGTGGTGGTGGTAAAGACTCTTGAGAGTCCCTTGGACTGCAAGGAGATCAAACCAGTCCATCCTAAAGGAAATCAACACTGAATATTCATTGGAAGGACTGATGCTGAAGCGAAGCTCCAATACTATGGCCACCTGATGCAAAGAGCTGACTCATTGGAGAAGACCCTGATGTTGGGAAAGATAGAAGGCAGGAGGAAAAGGGGACGACAGAGGATGAGATGGTTGGATGGCATCACTGACTCAGTGGACATGAATCTGAGCAAACTCTGGGAGATGGTGAAGGACAGGGGAGCCTGGCGTGCTGCAGTCCATGGGGTCACAAAGAGTTGGACATGACTTAGCGACTGAACAACAACAACAATGTTTGGAAAAGAGAAAAAATCTGGCATTTATCCTACATGTGCTGGACCGAGTGGCTAAGCACATGGTAGTGAGTGGGAGCTTCTTTTTGCAGGACATTGCCTGCTGGCTGGATGAAGGAGCAAGGGATCATCACCATCTGTGGTGCCTCCCAGGTTAGCGGAAGCAGAAGCTGAGAATCCACATCCCATCCCTGCCGCTACCATTGCAAAGATGGAGACAACTCGACATTACAAACCTCATAGCGGGGAGGCAGCAACTACCTACTGTTGTCTCGTTGGAAAAACTGTGCCTGAAAGGGATCAAGCCTCCAGGGATGAGGTCAGCTTCCAGATTCTAAAGAATACGTTCAGCTGCACCATGGACACAGCTCGTAAATCCAGACCGGAGGAAACCCCACAAGAAAATGATCTTATTCCTTCAAGAAATACATTGTGGGAATGAGGGCGCGGATGAGGGCGGTGGCGCGGAAGGCACAGTGCGGTCCCTAGGGTGCGGCCGCAGAGGGGATGGCTTTGTCCCGTCTGCGCTGGGAACCCGAGAGCATTGGGATGCTGTCTATAAGAGAGAACTGCAAACTTTCCAAGAATACAGAGATACAGGAGAAATCTGGTTTGGAGAAGAGAGTATGACTCGACTAATAAGGTGGATGCAGAAACACATGATTCCATTGGATGCTTCAGTGCTTGATATTGGAACTGGAAATGGTGTTTTCCTGGTTGAACTTGCAAAATTTGGTTTCTCTGATGTTACTGGAATTGATTACTCTCCATCTGCAATACAGCTTTCTGGAAGTATTATAGAAAAAGAAGGTTTATCTAACATTAAGTTGAAGGTAGAAGACTTTTTGAACCCTTCCACAAAGTTGTCTGGATTTCATATTTGTATTGACAAAGGGACTTTTGATGCCATAAGCCTTAATCCTGACAATGCAGTTGAGAAGAGGAAACAGTATGTGAAATCTCTCTCCAGAGTATTGAAAGTGAAAGGCTTTTTTCTAATAACCTCATGTAATTGGACCAAGGAAGAGTTGCTAGATGAATTCAGTGAAGGATTTGAACTTTTTGAAGAGCTGCCCACACCCAAGTTCAGCTTTGGAGGCCGATCTGGAATCAGTGTAGCAGCGTTGGTTTTCCAAAAAACATGAGACTTTTCACCGGACAGATTCAGTTAGTGTCTTTTTAAGAAGCTCTGCATCAAAGTAAACCTGACACAGAAAATGCAAGTGCAGGTAAATGTTTAGTAAGTACACAGGAGGCACATTTTGAGTAGAAATAATGGGTTGGTTAAAAAAAAAAATCATGAGCATGTAAGTGGTTGGGTTTTAGAGATCAACCAAGAATAATTTTAAAATTTTCCTTTTGTATTTGAGATGTAAATATTTCTCTTTCAGATTAAAAAAATAATTCCTGTAACTGCTGAACAGTTAAAACTTTAAAGCAGTAAATGAATTTACAGAAAAAAAAAGAAATACATTGTGAGGGGAAAAAATGGTGCAGGGTCATACCGAGCACAGAGTGTGACCCTCACCTGGAATCCTCTTCAAACAAATGAACTGCAACATATGTATGTGCGTGTATCTGTACACACCTCGGCTTCCCTTCTGGCTCAGAGGGCAAAGAATCTGCCTGCAATGCAGGAGACGGGGGTCTGACCCCTGGGTCGGGAAGGCCCCCTGGAGAAGGGAAAGGCTGCCCACTCCAGTGTTCTGGCCTGGAGCATCCCATGGACAGAGGAGCCTGGAGGGCCACAGCCCATGGGGTTGCCAAGGGTCAGATAGGACCGAGCAACTAACGCTTTGACGTATATAAGCATATGTGTATTTATGACAATTAGGGGACTTTGACTGTATATCTGATGATATTAAGGAAAGAGTCTTGGTTACTTTTTCTGTGTATATAATGATAGTCTTGTGATGATGGCTAAGAAAGGGAATGCTTACCTTGTAGTGAGTGATTCATTACCATGTAGTGACACAAAATGAAACATAGATGATGTGATATCTAAGTCTACTTCAAATGAATGAGGGGGGAGAGGTGTGACTGAGAGCAAAGGAGGCAAGATACCCGCTGTGTTGTGGGTAGGTGGGGGGAGGTGCCCCTGTCCTTTCACATGTGTTTGATGTTTTCCATAACAGGAAGCTGATTAAAAAATCATGTTCTTTTAAACGCACTGATGAACAGATAGGCATGTAAATAAATAAATAAGAGTAATCCTCTGGGAGAAAAAAATAAGGAGAGGAGGGGAGGAGGGGAGGGCTAAGGGGAAGAGGGGGAAGAGAAGCATCCGTCCTCTGAGCAGCGAGGCCTTTGCTGACCTGACCCTTGGTGTCCGGTGGGGAGCAGGACAGAGGGGCTGCCTCAGAGTAGCAAGGAAAGTGTGTTCTAGACATTTTCATAAACCTGGGACGCCCACCTCTCTGTACCTCAGCAAAAGGAGAGGCAAGGAAACAGTGGTATTGGGCATGATTCTCGGGGTTGAAGGGCTTCCCTTGTGGCTCAGCTGGGAAAGAACCCGCCTGTAACGCGAGAGCCGGGTTCAGTCCCTGGGTTGGGAAGAGCCCCTGGAGAAGGAAAAGGCTACCCACTCCAGTGTTCTGGCCTGGAGCATCCCATGGACAGAGGAGCCTGGCAAGCCACAGTCCATGGGGTTGCCAAGAGTCACATACAGCTGAGCGACCAACACTTTACGTACATAAACATACATGTGTTTATGACAACTAAGGGACTTTGAATACTGTCTATCTGATGATATTAAGGAAAGAGTCTCGGTTACTTTTTCTGTGTATGTAATGATAGACTTGTGATTACAGCTAAGAAGGGGAATCCTTACCTTGTAGTGAGTGATTCACTACCGTGTAGTGACACAAACTGAAGCAGAGATGATGTAATATCTAGAGTGTACATCAAATGAATGAGGGGGGAGGCGTGTGACCAAGAACAAAGGAAGCAAGATACCCGCTGTGTTGTGGGTACGTGGTGGGGGAGGTGTCCCTGTCCTTTCACATGTGTTTGATGAGAATTCCATGGACTGTATAGCCCACAGGGTCACAAAAAATTGGACAAGACTGAGCACCTTTCACTTCACTTGGAGTTAAAAGTGCCTCCACCTCTCACATCCCTGGCCTTGAATGTATAAGGTGAGTTTGCAGCTCCAATAGAAACTTCCTGGGCATCCCTGGTGATCCCGTGGCTGAGTTCACCTGCCAATGCAGGGATCATGGGTCCCACCCCTGGTCCGGGAGGATCCCACATGCAGCGGGGCATCTCAGCCCAGGCACCACGACTGCGGAGCCTGTGCTCCGGAGCCCGGGAACCACAACTGTTAAGCCAACGTGTCACAGCTCTGAAGCCCGTGCCCTCGAGCCGGTGCTCTGCAACAAGAAAAGCCACTTCAACGAGAAGCCTACAGACCACAACGAACAGCAGCCTCTGCTTCCTGCAACTGGAGAAAGCCTGTGCATAAATAAGTAAACGTTTTACAAATAGAGAAATTTCCTGTGTCGTTCACAACCTACTAGACACAACAGCCTCATATAGGGGAAGACCCCCAACAGGATTAGAATCCCAAAGTCTCAATATATACAGTCATCCACTGAAGGAATGTTTATTCAGCATCTCACTACTGTGGGCAGAGGGGAGCCAGCAGTAAACTGGCTAGAATACTGAAATCCTAGATAGAGACTAGAAAACAATTATGTTTACAAGGTTTACAGATCTTTAAGAAGAAATTTTGAACTTGATCAAGGAACAAGATACAAATATAAACTAACAAACAGGTTTAAAATGAAAGCAAATGAAATTGTTACGGGAAAAAACTCCCTAACGTCGAAATTAAACTCAGTGGATGAATTAAGTATAAGGCTAGTAAGAGTTGAAGGTTTAGATCTAAAGAAGTTATCTAGAACACAAAAAGATAAAGGATATGAAATGCAGGGCATAGAATGTCTGATTGAAGTTCTAGAAAAAAATTGAGAAATTGGAATGAGGCAGTATTAAAAAAGAATGGCTTAAAAACTTCCACACTTGATCAAAACCATGAAATCGCTGCCTAAAAAGTTTAAACAAACAAAACCCCTCACAAATAAAAGAAAAAAGCCGACTTCTCTGGTGCTCCAGTGGCTAAGAATCCGCCTGCCAACGCAGCGGACACAGGTTTGATCCCCGGTCTGGGAAGATCCCACAAACTGAGGGGCAACGAAACCTGGGCACCACAGCGGCTCAGCCTGGCTCAGCCGGAGCCTGCGAGCCCCGACCACTGAAGCCCGAGGGCCTGGAGCCCGCGCGCTGAGACAGAGAGGCCCTTGCAGCGAGAAGCCTGTGCACCAGGACTAGAGCGAAGCCCCTGCTGGCTCGCTGCGATCACAGGGCAGCCCCGCACAACAGCCAAGACCCAGCACTGCCCAAAACAAAAACGAATAAACACGTGTAAAAAGAAGACGGAAACCCAGGGCTGTCAAGCCACAGGAAGGGAGGGAGGAAACTTAAATGCGTATTGCTCAGTCAAAGACACTGATCTGAAAACGCTACATGCCCTGTGATTCCAACTCTGTGACCTTCGGAAAAGAGCAAAGGTTTGCAGGCGGTGAAAAGACCTGCGGTCGCCAGGGGTTTGCGGGAGGGGGAGGGAGGAAGAGGTGAATGCATCTGTTCATGTGTAACCATCATAAGAAATCTTTAGGGTGGCGAAACTATTCTGTGATCTTGTAATGATAGAAACGCTTATTTGTCCCAGTCCATATAATTATACAACAAAGTGTGAACCCTAAGGTAAACTACGGACTTAAGTTAATATTCAATAATAATGTGTCAATACCAGCTAACCAACAGTAACACTGCAGCACCGTAATGAAAGATGTTTACAGTAGGGAATTTCTGGATGTGTGTGAGTATGCTCGTGTGTGTGTGTGTGTGTGTGTGTGTGTATGCATGCATGCGTGCGCGTGTGTTGGGACAGACGGGAATATGGAGTGCTTTGCATGTTCTGCTCAGACTTTTGGAAACCTAAAACTATTGTTAAAAAAAAAAAAGCCCATTAATTAAAAAATAAAAGAAATCCTATAACTGAATCACTTTGCTGTATACCAAAAACTGACACAACATTGTAGCCAAAAAAAAAAAAAAAGGAAATCTAAACCTTGAACTACTACAGTGAGACTGCAGAACACCAGAAACAAGAGAAGATCCTAAAAGCAGCTACAGAGAAAAGCAGATCAGGTAACAAGCAGGCTGGTGCTGATTGCTCACCAACCACAATGGAAACTGGAAGGTGGGAACAAGCTTTCAAAGCAGAGACAGACCATCTGCCCAGAATTTCAAACCCCACTAAACAGTCACGTGAAAGGGAGCGTGAAGCAGATGCCTTCGGTCAGACAAGAACCAGGTTGTCCCCCGAGGGAGCCGGCCCAGACTGCCCCGGGGGGAGGGGCCCACAGCCTCTCACCTTTGCAGTGGGCGTAGGGCATGGTGAGGCTGTAATCCTCCGCCCGGTTCAGGAAGGTGAGGGTGGCCTTGCCACCCAGCAGAGCTGACAGCGAGTTCCCTGCAGGGAGACACGGCGTAGGAGGAACAGCAACAGCGCGCAGAGCCGGATCCTGGGGACCTGGGCCCCCACCCCCACCCCAGGTCACAGGACCTGGGCTCCCTTCCAACAGGTGGGAAGAGCCCCAGGCACCTTGAGCTGTGTGACTGTGGGTGACTTAAGCTCTCTGAGCTCAGGTTCTGCGAAAGCCCCATCCAGGTTGCACAGGGCGTGCATCCTGAGGATGAGGAGCTACCTCAGCTGTGTCACGTTTATTTCAGTTACTAAAGCCGGGATTCCTACGGGGGGGCTTTGACCCTTTCCAAACCAGGGCCTCTGCTCTGATTTTAGACACCTCCAGAGACAGGGTAAGGCCCACGCAAGGGCACACAGTCGGTGACGGGAGCACGGGGGTTGGAAAGGTGGGCAGAGCCCACGCACTCAGCTGGGTACACGGAGGCACTCGGCCCACCTGTCCACCAGCGAGAGCCATGGCGAGGCCACCCCCATGGAGAAATGCAGAGAAACCCACTGCCGGGCTCTCGAGGTCTGTGGGACGGACCGTCCTGTGAGGTCGAAGCTGTCCTACCCCACACCGTACGACACGGCGGCCACCTGTGGCTACCTGTACGTGGCCAGAGTGACTGAGGGGCCGCCGGTAAGTTTCATTCCATCTGAGTCCCTTTAAATAGCCGCGTGCAGCCAGCGGTGCTGGACGGCCCGGCCAGCCCTGGAGGCACCTTTGCACGTGGTCGTTTCTCATTATCCTCCCGGCACCCCCGTGAACCCCACGGCTGAGAGAGGGATGGGAGGAGCTGCCTGAGGGTCTCTGCAGACCCCAGGTTCTGAGCACTTAACCCCCGCGTGGTCCCTGCTAGGAGAGGTGGGGAGGGACAGGAATATGGCCCCCGTGGGAGGTCTTGGTGACCCCTGAATCCGCAGCTCAGTCCTCCCCCCAGCCCGTTTCCCTGAGGCCCCCGGGGAGACCCCAAGGAGCCGCTCCCCTCTCACCATAGAACCGGGACTTGGCGGTGATGCTGCCGCTGATGCAGAAGCCGTCCTTCCGGTTGCTGACGTGGAAGGCGGACACAGGTGGGTGGTGGGAGACCTGTGGGTGGGGAGGCAGCTCTAGCAACGGCCCCAGCAGCGGGCAGCCCCGGCCCCCCCCATTCCCTCCCGGCCCCAGCAGCGGGCGTGAGGGCAATCTCGCCTTGGGACTCGGCCCAGGAACTGCCTGCCATCCCCGTGTCCCGCCCGGGGCCCCCAGGAAGGCGGGACGCGCTGGGCCCTCCCCAAGGACACACGGCTGTCACAGCCACGGTGGGGTCTGCACCCCTGAGAGAATCCCCCCGGCAGCAGCGACGCCAGGGCTCTTCCGACGGTCCCGGGTGAGGCCTCCAAGAAACAGGCAAGGGCTGAGGCACCGCCCACCCGCCGCCAGGGCCCGCCCGCCGCAGAGCCCGGCACCCAGCCCGGGGTGGCCCTTGCCTGCTCAGCGATGTAGAAGGTGTGGCTGTTGGTCTGGGGGTGGAACCAGCAGCAGCGGAAGGTCTCCCCCAGGATGGGGTTGTAGGGTTTCTTGATGCCCTGCAGGCAACGAACAAGAGGCTGGCGTGAGACACCGGGGGCGGGGGTGGCCAGGGACGCCGGCTGGGCTGGGCTGAGCTGAGGACCGAGGGACGGTGAGGGGGCTGCCCCTGCCCACCGCCCCGGCAGGCAGAAGGTCTCTACAAGGGATGCCCAGTTTGCAGCCAGTCCCGGAACAACACCCCACTCCTGCTCCGGGGAGACTGTGCTGTGCCCATGATTTCCATTCGGGGGCAGGGGGGAACAGCCTACACGTGTCGTGTCCACATCTCCGCTGTGAGGGGCTCTCAAGATCCTGACCACCGCCCACTCTCCCTGGACGCCTGGGAAGCCAGTGCGCCGCCTGCTCAGAGTCCCCCGTGGCTTCCAGTGACCTTTCGGGTGAGAACCCAAGTCCTCCAGCACGTCCTGCCCCAGCTCTGCCACACTCACCTCCTTTCTGCTCCCCAAACAGTTCAAGTTCATCAGGGAACAATCTCCCTGCGTGGAGAGCCCTCCGCCCGGCTCTCCGTAGCCAGCTCGGGCCCACCTCCCCCACATCTGATGTCCGTCAACTGCCGCTGTGTGCACACATGGGCCTCACCCCGGAGACCCGGGCTCGTGACTGTCTGCAGAGCCCCCGGAGGCGTCCCTGCGCGTCCACAGCTCCCACACCCTGCCCGTCAGTCCTTCTCCGACCCGAGCTTCCTAGACCCAGCTCTGAGCCAACTCTGCGGCAGCCAGTGTGCTGTCCTGGGTGGGCACCCTGGCACGCGGAGCCCCCTCCTCTGAGAAGTCCTCCGGAGTGCGCCCTCTGTCCCAACGGCCGCACACCTGGCTTGGCCCAGGGCCTGCATCAGAATGTGGAAAGCCCCAGGAAGAGTGGGGAGACCTAGTCCCACTTGCTAACTGCTCTGTGACTCCAGGCCTTCCCCTCCCCTCTCTGAGCCTCAGTTTCCCCTCCGGCACAGTGGAGACGTGGGACCCCAGGCCCCTCCCATCACTACAGCCAGAGGGGCCCTGCTCTCATCAGAGCCTGGAATTTGGTTTTCAAAAGGGGCTTCGTGCGCAAAACCCAGGGGTCCCAGGGCTCCTCGGGGTTCAGGGGCCTACGTCCTCCTCTTTGTGCTGCTGTGCCGCAGCTGTTTCTCTGAGGGGTGGAGGCCCAGCTCGGCCTTTCAGGGATCGGGACCGCCCTGGGGGCCTGGCCCCGCCAGCGGGTCCCTGGGTGGGAAGTCCGGGCCCGGCCCCCGTCTCTCAGGACCTGGGGGGACAGTCCTGGGGGCGGGGGGTGCCCCTCACCCCCGACTGCAGGCAGGGGCTGGGCGGACCTCCCGCTGGCCGCCCCCCATCCCTCCCCAGCAGGTGCGCTCACCTTGGGCTTCTTGTAGAAGCCGGACAGGTACCATCGCAGCACGAGCTTCATGCGGCTGTAGGCGTCCTCCTCCAGCGCAGCCCTGCGACCACGGGCGGGGGAGCCCTCACTCCAGGTCGGGGACCTGGGCCTCTCCCTCCTTCCGTTTCAACCTTCATCCGCTTGCTGGAAACCCAGGCCCTTCCCAAGCGGCCCTGCCCCGATGCCATGACGAAGGGGAGTGTGTGTGTGTTGGGGGGTGAATCTCCCACCTCTGGGAAATCGGGTCAGGAAATATCAGTGTGGCTCCACCGCTGGGGCAGCAAGGGCGCGGCCGGCTCGAGCCTGGCAAGACGCCGCCTCCAGGAAGCCGCCAGGATGCTCTCCCCCTCACCCAGCTCCCTCTGCATGGGCTCCTGAGCCTGCAGGCCCCCTCCCACCCTCGGCCTTGTTCAGCCTGAGGGCTAACAGTGCCAGGGCTCGGTGCACAGAGGGTGCCGGGCTCCCCTGCGATGGGGGCCCTGACGGATGTGGGACGGCCCTGCCCTCCAGGCCCAGCAGCCCCTCCCTGGAGTCGGGGCCCCTTGGAGGCAGGGACCGTCTTCCGGAGACCCTCTGCATCCCCGGGGGTGGGTGCCAGGGCCTCCCCGAGGCATACCTGGAGAGCAGGTCGGCGTGGTAGTAGTAGTCCGAGAGCTTGTTGAGGAATGAGCGCGGCTCGAGCACGAAGGTGGGCAGCACCACGCGGGACAGGTCCATGCCCGGCCGCAGCTGCTTCAGCAGGACCCACATCAGGCTCTTGTTCTCGTCCGACACTGTCTCCACCTGCGACGCCTCGCCCCGCTGCAGGCACAGGGGCCGGGTCAGGCCAGAGCCAGGCGGGGAGCCTCGGTGCCCGAGGAAGCCACGAGGGGCGCAACTGCCACCCCATCGGGGGTCCCCCCGGCCCGGCCCCCATGCCCAGGAAGCCTGTCCTGGCCCTATTCCGGCCTGTGTCCCCCGAGCCCAGAGGGGCGCCTGCTGGCCCAGGCCAGCTCCCTTGGGCCTCGGTTCCCGGCCAGCCCAGACAGCCTGGGCGCCCTCAGCCCCTCGCGGCCTGTGCCCGCCTGACACCTGTCTGGGCACTTTGCATACTCCCGCGCCGCGGCAGCAGGGGGCACGTGCTCAGAGACCTCGTCCTGCCCCCAGCCTGTCTCCTCTCCACCCAGGGACATGACCCCGGGGCTTCGGGCTGGCACCCCCTTCAGAAGGGGGCCTTCACTTCCTCAGGAGCACATGGGGCCCCCTCTCTCCCCTGAGACGTCTCACCCTCCCCGGAGCCACGGGCTTTGTCTGGGCAGCGGGTGGGGGCGTGGTGGCCAGGGAGCCTGGGGACCGGGTGGGGCTCCATCTCCCAGAACACGCCCACCACAGGCCCTCAGGTGGGCAGAACCATCTCAGAAAGGGTCACGCGGCTGTCTGGGGATGGCCGGCTGGCAGGACGGGTGATCCCAGGCAGGGCTGGGACCCTCACCCTTGGGATGCCCTGGGTGATGCCAAGCCCCTCTCCCCTCCCTGTGGACCCCAGGACCTATGGACCCAAGGTCTTGGGCCTGGGGTGTGTGTAGCTGGACCTGACCCCTGGGAGGGAGCAGAACAGGGATGCCAGCAGCCCGCCCCGCACCAGGATCCGCCCTCTCCTCCTCCTGCCCCCAATCCTTCCCTCCTCCTCCTGCCCCCAATCCTTCCCGGCATCAGGGTCTTTTCCAGCAAGTGGGCCCTTCACATCTCTCCGGGGGCTCTCCCCGAGTCCCGCCACCCTGGCCCGCCCGGTCCCGGGCCCTCTGGGTGCAGCAGAGCCGGCGAGCTCTCCCCGAGGGGACGGCCAGGCGCTGCCTCCACGGCTCCAGGGTTGGGGGCTCGGGGCGGGGCGACTCTCACCTCCCCCAGCTCCTCGTGGCCCTGCACCACGTAGGTGGTCCCTCTGCGCCCGGGGCCCGCCGGGGCCTCGGACTGGTCACTGCCGCTCTCGGTCTTCCGGCTGTGGTCGTGCGTCTCGTTATCCGACTCCTCGGCGTTTTCCCTTTCTGACTTGTCCGAGAAAGCGTCGTTCTCCAGGGGGTTCTCCAGGGAGGACCCGTTCAGTCTGGAAAGTGGATGGTGGCCATGGGCGGCTGGTCACGGTGAGGCCAGGCACCCCCACCTCTGGGCACACACCCAGAACCCCCACCAGGGTGCCCCTCCCTGCCGGGCGCCTCACCCCCCACCCTGTGTTTAAAACCCTCGGCGATGGGCATTTGACACTATTAGTCCCAGTTCACAGATGAACACTCTGAGGCTCTGGGGTCCCCCTGGAGTGGAGGAGGCCTGCCTTGGGGGCCAGGGTGTGGGCAGCCAGACCTCTGTGGCGTTTGCTCCCCATCCCCTCCCCACGTCCAAGGAGACCCCGCGTGCTGCTGCCAGAAGCGCCCAGCAGGCAGGAGACCCAGGCTCCTGGGAGGGGCTGGCCCCCGCCCCCCGCACCCCTGCTCACGGGAACAGGTCCTGGTCATGGATGGCGCCCGAGGCGGGCAGCCCGCAGAGCGAGGAGGGCGACCCGTCCGGCGAGGACCCGGGCTCCCCGTCACGGCCCTGCTTGCAGGCGCTGAGTCTCAGGAGACTGGAGCACCGCAGCGCCAGCTCCAGGGCGTCCAGCCAGCAGCGGCCTGCGGGCGAGGGTGGGATGAGTGGCCCCCAGCTCGGGAAGGGCCCAGGGCACATGGGCAAGCCCCCCTGCCCCGCTGCCCGGGAGCTGGCCCACCCCCACCCTGCCCTTCCTCAACAAGGAGCCTCTGCAGGACCACCCCACTCCTAGCACACGGTTATTCGCCTGTGTTACAAAGGACTGAGGCCGGGAGGGGTAAGTGACCGCCTGAAGGTCACATGCTAAGCAGGACCCCACGTGCTAAGTCGCTTCAGTTATTATCTGGCTCTTGGCGACCCCATGGACTGTGGCCCACCAGGCTCCTCTGTCCATGGGATTCTCCAGGCAAGAACACTGGAGGGGTTGCCATGCACTTCTCCAGGGGATCTTCCCCACCCAGGGACTGAACCCACATGTCTGGCGTCTCCTGCACTGGCAGGCGGGTTCTTCACCACTTGTGCCACCTGAGAAGCCGTCTGTATCCAGAGGCCCTGCAAGTTCCCACCTATGGAGTTGGGGCCAGGGCCCTCCTGGATGGAAAGTGCCCCCACAGGCCCAGGCAGGGCCCGGCCTCTGCGGCTGAGGGCTTTTGCTGGCCTGGAGCACACGTGGGTGGCAGGCTGGGGAGGGGACTGCTGAACCAAGGCCGAGGAAGCAGCCCTGGTGTTGCAACAGCACTGGGAGATGGGGGAGGGCCAGCCTGAAGGGCAGAGCGGTGGTGGATGGACCCAGCCGCCTGCAAACCCAGCCCTGGTCCCCAGCCCTTTGCTGCCTTCCTGGTGGAGGCTGCCAGCAGGTTAGACCTGCGGTTCAAGCACTTTGAGTGCATTTCTTTACTTCTCCGAGCCTTTAAAGTATGACCCTCCTGGAGGCAGTAAGTTTCCTTTAAAGTATGACCCTCCTGGAGGCAGTAAGTTTCCTTCCCCAACTCTCCTCCTCCAGGAAGCCCACCCTGATACCCCCAGGGCCTGTGGACGTCCTTCCTCCCTGACTACGGCCCCCAACTCCATCAGGGACTCGGCTCATGCCTCAGCCCAGCTGGCCTTGTCTGAAGGGTCTCTGCTTGCCCCCCCCAGCAGATAGCAGGCTCCCTGGGAGCCGGGCCGCCCTGTCCATCCCGGGGCCCAGGAGGGGCGTGGCCCCGAGTGGGGGTGCTGCGGACAGACGGTGGCACGCAAGCCACTGAGGAGCGGCGACGCGGCGTCTGGCCACCAGGGGGCAGCCGGGGGGCCCAGAGCCCGGTGGTCAGGCCCGGCGTCCCTGGGCAGCGCCTCCCCGGTCCCGGACCACTAGATGGAGCCCTGCGCCCGCTCCCCGGGGCGGGAGACAGCGGCGTTTACTCGGGGCGGCCGCGAGAGGGCGCCCCAAGCACGCGCGAGTTCAGGAACGCGCGTCCCTCCGCCCCGGGCAGTTCCGCCAGCCTGTCTCCCCAGGCCTCCCCAGGTGGTCGGTAAGAGCAGCGCCTGGTGACCCAGGGGTGCCTGGCACGCAGCAACTGCTATCTGTTCAATACGGCCATCGGATTCTCACAGCAGCTAAGGAGAGCGTGTTACCGCTCACCCTTTGCCCATGGGGGAGGCTGAGGCTCAGAGACGGGGCAGGTGAGTGGGGGGCTTGTCCCCTGGCGCCAGGCTGCCCCCTGGGATGGCGTCGGGAGGGTCCAAACCGGGGTCCCCTGCGCCTGGCTGATCCCTCCACCAAGGGGCAGGGGTGCCTCCCGTGGGGTCACCGTGGAGACCGGCAGGCCCGGTGGGACTCACCGTCCGACTCAGAGGCGGCCCTGAAGATCAGGTAGCTGCTGGGCAGGGGCTGGGTGAGGGAGCCGACGCTCTCGCCCTTGGGGCCCTGGAGGGGCAGAGAGGCGGCGTCACCCAAGGGACGGGGGGAAACACGGGTCAGGAGGTCATGGGGACCCCCACACACACGCGCACAGACGCGGGAAACACAGGTCAGGAGGTCATGGGGACCCACACAGACGCGCACAGACGCTTCCGGGGCCTCGGGACCCCCAGGTGGGGTCAGGCACCCGGCCATGTAGACACAGCAGGCAGCAAGAGAGGTGAGTGGGCGCGCCCTGACCTCCTTCTCAGCTGGCGGCCCCACTCTCGGTTTTCCTCTCTGAGCCCCCATTTAGGTGGCCAGAATCAGCATGTGCAAATCCAGGACACTTGGTTAAATTTGAATCTCAGAAAAATTACATATACACAGTTTAAATATATCCCATACAATATTTGGGACATACTTATACTAAAAAAAGAGCCGACTCACTGGGAAAGACCCCGATGCAGGGAGAGATTGAAGGCAAAAGAAGAGGGCGGCAGAAGATGAAATGGTTAGACAGCACCACTGACTCAATGGACGTGAGTTTGCACGAACTCTGGGAGATAGTGAAGGACAGGGGAGCCTGGTGGGCTGCAGTCCGTGGGGTCGCAAAGTCGGACACGATTTAGCGACTGAACAACAACATACTAAAAAAAACCTTTTTGATCTCCCTCTGAAATCCAAATGTACCCAGGCATTCTGGATTTCATCTGGCAACCTGACCGCTCTGGTCCTGGGGTGGGCCGCCTCCGGGTTCTGAAGGGGGAGGTCTGGTGCAGCTGCCCTCACATGGCCCCGTTCCCCAGCCTCTGGACAGGGCTCGACGTGTGACCTGAACCCATCAGGTCCCCAGGTCCCGAGCACCCCTCACCCCAACATGTGTTCCACATGGAAGGCCACTGACAACCTCTGATCCCCCGGCCACCGAGTAGTGACTAACCCTTGGAACCGTCAGCCCAGTTCTGGACCCCCTGCTCCTGGGGCCCAGCATGAGGCTCCTGACTGCCCAGCCATGCTCTCCTCCTGACCAGCACGCCCCCGCCCCCTCCCACCTCACCCATGGGCATCTCTCCTCGCCTGGCCCCCCTGAGTCCCGGGGCCCACACTGCGGTACCTTCACAGCCCAGACGGACTGGTCCAGCGGGTGGAAGAGCTTGAAGCAGAAGCCGTCCTTCTTGGAGGGTCTCTCGATGAGCTCGCAGCAGTGCAGCAGGACCGTGCCCACCCACTGGCCCACCTTGGGCGTCTTGTAGATGAGCAGCACTCCCGGCTTCAGCACGCACCACAGTTTGGTCCAGCTCTTCAGGGTCCCTCGGATCTGGGGGGAAGGGTGCTGCCGTCAATGCCGGCTGGGGACCCCGGGGGCATCTAAACTGCCGACGGACGGGGCCCCGGGCTCTGGGCTCCGGGCCGGGCTCTGTTTTAGACTTTAACAGGAACTCTAAAAGACGGTGAATCCAAAGAAAGATGCTGGAGCCAGGTTTACTGGTGAAGTTCCCAGAGCTCAAGTTCAAGCTCAAGCTCAAGTTCAAGGCCCTGCTCTGGTCCTGGGAGGAACTGGCACTAAGCGGTGACTGCTGTAATTATCAGCCTTGTGATTTTGAAACTTGTGATCATTTCTTTTTTCATTCTAAATTAATACTGTTTTGCACCTAATTTTTTATTCCTAATTTTGTGGAGCAAAAAGAAAAAAGAGCCCACAAAGGCCCAGAGCTTTGCAGATACCCAGGCTCCAAGCCTGCTTTCTCCTCTGCCCCTCGCAGGAGCCCCAAGGATTCCACAGCTTTATCCCCACTCTGTGGAGGGGGAAACTGAGGCTTGGGGCTGAGGCAGTCGCTCGTGGCCTGAGAGGTCTGAACACAGGCCTCTGACCACAGCCCAGTCCTGTCCCCAGAAGCCAGGGTTTCGACTCCCTCCTGTGTCCCCAGCAGGGGACTCCACTGGGCTCTGGGCCCCCCGCAGGTCAGGGGTCCCTCTACCTTAAACAGAAACAGGGTTTCTGCAGACGTGACCGAGTGAAGATGAGGCGGTCCTGGAGCAGGGGCCCTGGTCCAACAACCGTGTCCTTGTAAGAGGAGGAGAGGACACAGACCCAGGAGGAGGCCAGGTGACCGCAGAGGCAGAAGCCGGAGGAGGCGGCCACAAGTCCGGAGACACCCGGGGCCGCCAGCGGCGGGGAGACGCAGGAAGAGCCCTCCTCCGGAGCCTTGGGAAGGGGCCTGTCCCGCCAGGACCTGGATTTGGGGCTTCTGCCTCTGGACCTGGGGGTCTGTTTTGGTTGCTGTAAGCCACCAGCTTGCGGTCCCTGGCCCCAGGACGTGGCTGCAGCCTGCCGTGGCCCCCAAGCCCAGCCGCCTCCGGAGGGGCTGGTGAGCCTGCGCCGTCCCTGGGGGCGGCCCCCCGAAGCAGCCGGGGCCGAGGCGAGGCCTGTGCTCACCTTGAGGCTGTCGGCCATGATGACCACACTGGGGTCCGTCAGGGCACTGAGCAGCTGCCTCGTGGCACGCTTCTTCTCCCGGCGGTAGGTCTCCTTCTGCGCCTGGGCCCAGGGCACCGTGGGGGTCAGCAGAGAAGGCCCCGGACTGGCCCTTCCCCGGGGCTCCCACCCCGGGCATCGAGCTGGTGGACGAGGACGGGTCCCGGGAGAGGGCAGGAAGCGGGGGCATGGGGGGGCTGGGGTGCCGTCCGCCCCCCTCCCCCCGGCAGGCTGGAGGTGGGGGCTGGCCGCACTGGCCCGCGCGCCCCTTCATCCAGCAAATGAGGCCCGCGGCCCCTCCCCGGGCCCAGGCCCACCTTGAGCGCTTCCTTCTTGCTGACCTTGGCCGTCGGGGACACACACTCCCTGTCCGACCCGTTGCACAGCCGGTATTCCGCCTGCAGGAGAGACTCAGGTTGGGGTGCGTACAGTCCAGGAGGGGGTGGCGCTGGGGGTGCAGGAAGCAGGAGGTGGGAGTCCGCTGCTCCCCCAGCCCCCAGCCCCGGTGCGGGGGGGACGGAGGGAACAGGCAGTGAGGCGAACCTGTGAACAAGAGCTGGGGGGCACCGTGGTGGGTGTTCAACGTGGCCCCTTCCCTGGGCTCGTGTGTGTGCAGGGGGGACCTCTGTCCCTGGCACCCTGACAGCAGCTGCCGGTCGGGGGGCAACACCCAGGCCCCCTTCAGCCATCCAAGGCTATGGGGCAGGGGGAGGGCGGAGCTGCGTCCACAGATGTGGGCGTGACGGGCCCTCAGTCCTTTTACAGATGGGGAAACTGAGGCCAGGGTTGGGGCATGGGGAGAAAACGTCAGGACTAAAGGCTGCAGATTCCTGCCTGCTTCCGTAGGGCCTGCAAGCCCAGGATGGGTTTTACCAGTTTTTGGGGGGCAGCATTTGCGGTATCTTAGTTCCTAACCAGGGATCGAACCCGGGCTGCCTGCAGTATGGAGTCCTAACCACTGGACCACCAGGGACGTCCCAGGTTTCACATTTTTAAGGGATTGGGGGGGGGGGGAAATCAAGGTGGGATGCAAAAATCACGCAATCCAGATTTCTGCATCCACCAGGGAGGCTCTTCTGGCGCCAGCCGTGCCAGTCCCTTCTACGCCGCCCGCGGCTGCATGCGATGGAGGGGCCACATCAGGCCCCGGGGACAGAGTCCTGTGGCTGCCGAGCCAGAGACGCTCCCTCTCTGCCCCCCTGCAGAGGCGGGCCTGCCCTGCGCTGTCCGCTGGGCTGCGTGCCCCGACCCCGAGCCACTAAGCCAGGGAGGGGGGCCTGGAGGCTGGCCGGCCCCAGCTCCCTCCCCGCACAAAGTGAGGGGCGTGGACCCCTTGGCCGCCCCGTCCTCTGAGGTCGCGGCTGCCCTCGCTCACCTAGTTCTTGCCGCCACCCGGGGGCGGGCCTGGTCGTGCTGTGTGTGCTAAGTCGCTTCAGTCGTGTCCGACTCTGTGCGACCCCGTGGCCTGTAGCCCGCCGGGCTCCTGTCTGTGGGATGCTCCAGGCAGGAATCCTGGAGCGGGCTGCCATGCCCTCCTCCACTCCCAGTCACTGGGCATCTGGTGCCCACTGAGGCTGCGGAGCCGGTGGCAGGGCTCTGACCGGAGCTGTCCAGTCGGCCAGCTGTGCCCGCGGCACCACGTGCTGGGCGAGGCCTCTGGTGCGGGGTTAGGACGGCGGCAAGGAGGGGTGAGAGCTGCGCCGGAGACGGCAGGTGTGCGTGGGAATCACGGCAGCTCTGCCCACGCTCCCAGCCACACCCCGCGGCACAGAGAGGCTCAGAACCTGCCCGCGGTCGCGCAGCTACGAAGGGGGCTGGGCCCGGGCAGCGTCACTCTGCGCGCACTCTCTGAGACCAGTCAGGACATTCGGGAGCCCGGGAAGCCAGGGGCATGGTCAGGGTGCCTGGGGGACACTGCCCCAGAAAAAAACTCTGGGCTGAGGCAGGAGCGATGGCGGCAGGCTCTGGGGGCCGGGCTGATGCTCCGGCTCCTGGGGTGCTGGGGTTCTCGTGCCTGGAACCCCGGATTCCTCAGCACATGCTGTTCCCCCTGCTCCTTCCTCAGGCCTCGCTGAGCTGCCTCCGCTGGAGGAAGACGGCCCTGAGCACCCTGCTGGCATCAGACTCCGGACACCCCACCCACCCCTGGCTGCACGCACATTTGGGTATCGTGCCAGGAGCCCCACTGTGGACGGCTTCCGCCCGGCGCCCCCGGCACTAGGAGCCTGGGGAGCACGTTGGGTGAACGCAGGCATGAACGAACATGCCCTCTGCCAGGTTCCTGCCACCCGCTTTCCACCAGATGCTGCTGGAAGGAGCTTGTTTGGGGCGACGGAGGTAGAGAGGGGGACAGAGTGGGGGCCGTGGGGCTGGGAGGAGCGGGCGGGGTGGGGTGTCCGTGCCCCGCACCCTCTGCTCCTGGGCCCTGCGAGGCCGCTGGGCCGGGTCACAGCAGCCCCGGCCTGGGGCAGTGCCTGCCACTGCTCCGTCCTAAGGGCCAGGCTGGGGACCCCGCCAGGCCCGCCTGCTGGCTCCTGAGGCCGCAGCACGTGTAGGCACAGCAGGGCGATGACCGGCACCCTCAGGGCAGGAGACACTGCTCAGAACCATGAACGTGGGGGTCTGCCCACAAACGTGCGGCTGCGGAAAACTCCTTTAAAAAAGTGCCCTAGAGCAGCCTACAGGACAGGGCGAAGCATCTGCAATCATGTGTCTGACAAAGCTCGTGTCCAGATACAGGAAGACCTCCTAACAACCCAACAAAGCGCGTGTGCGCTCACTCGTATCCGACTCTTTGCGACCCGTGGACTGTAGCCCGCCAGGCTCATCTGTCCATGGGATTCTCCAGGCAGGAATCCTGGAGCAGGTTGCCATTTCCTCCTCCAGGGGATCTTCCCCACCCAGGGATCGAGCCCACGGCTCTGGTGTCTCCTGCACTGGCAGGCGGGTTCTTGACCCCTAGGGCCACCTGGAAGCTGACAAAAGACAACAGCCGGGTGCAAAGACGGACGGAGGACTTGGACAGAAGGTCGACAAGAAAGTGAGAAAACGTTCGTCCCCCTGGGTCCTCAGCGAAGTGCTCATCCTACCACGGTGAGACATCGCTTCACACCCACAGGCATGGCCATGGGGACGACGCCGAACAGAACCGAAGCTGGGTGTGAGACGTGGGCGCCCGCCTCCCCGCCGGCGGGATTGCAGCACGGGGCGGCCACTGAGGAAGACCGCTCAGCACTTTCTCCAAGAGGCGAAATACACAATCTACTAGAAAGCCATCTTGCCACAGAATTGCCATCTGGCCCAGCAATCCCACTCTGAGGTACACACTCAGAGAAGTGAAACAGGGACTCAGACACCTGCACACGCGTGTTCGCGGGAGCTCTGCTGACGCATGGACAAGCCGCCCGGCTCCATCCAGCCCGTGGACTATTTCAGCCCTGACACCTGCCGCAGCCTGGACGGAAGCAGCCCGTCACACAGCCCCACACGTGGCCCGGCTCCGCTGACACGCGTGTCCAGCACAGGCAAATCCGTACACACGGGAGGCGGAGTGGCAGCTGCGGGGGACGCGAGTGGCCGCTCGGGGGGCCACGCTGGGGTGACGGAGCCGTTTCGGAGCTCGACGGAGGTGGTGGCTGCACCACACTGTGGACGCAAGAAATGCCACCGAATGGTTCACTTAAAATGGTTAACTTCATGTTATCTGAATTTTATATCCCGGAAAAACCGCATAATACATATTTACTTTTCCTTTTAATTTTTTTTTTAAATTATGAAGTATCTGGGCTTCCCTTGTGGCTCAGACAGTAAAGAGTCTGCCTGCGATGCAGGAGAGGCGGGTTCGATCCCTGGGTGGGGAAGATCCCCTGGAGGAGGGAATGGCAACTCACTGCAGTATTCTTGCCTGGGAAATCTCATGGACAGAGGAGCCTGGCGGGCTACAGTCCACGGGGTCGCAAAGAGCTGGACACGACTGAGTGACTAACACTAAACTATGAAAGTATGGGGACACATTTACAGGAGACTTGGAAAATAAAGAACACGGTTCTTTATTATATTACACCATGTATTACAATTATTTTTCATATAATATGTATTACATGTGTCTGTATGTATATATAGGCTTCCCAGGTGGTGCAGTGGTGAAGAATCTGCCTGCCAATGCAGGAGACGTAGGTTTGATCTCTGAGTTGGGAAGACCCCCCCCACCCCCGGAGGAGGAAATGGCAACCCACTCCAGTATTCCTGCCTGGGAAATCCCACGGACAGACAAGCCTGGTGGGCTACAGCCCACGGGGGCACAGAGTCGGGCACGACTGAATAACTGTGCACACACCCACGCACATGTGTGTATATACATAAAGAGCTATATATTAAACATCTAATATTAAATATTATATATTGTATTAATCTTATATAGAACAAAATATCTAATATTAGTATATTAAATGTGTCCATCTTAAATATGGACTGACCGACTGAGCAACAAACGGTCTGTTTATCACATGTATGTTAGAGTTTGAGTCTTTCCCGGAACTGCGCTCTCTGTAACAGCCCCAAGTCTCTCTTAAGGACCTGGGGGCACCCAAAGCCGTCCTTTCCTTCCTCCCACGGCCTCAGACTGTCCAGACTCACTTGCTTTCTCTGGAGCCTGCCTCCCTTCTGGAACGTAAGCTCCGGGAGAGGGGGACTTCATTTTATCCATGACTGCGTCCCCGGCGCCTACACGTCTTGCCCGGACAGGATGCCCGGATGTCTCGACTGAGGGAGTGAGATCTAAAATCTGAAACTAGTGCTCCTGACAGCATTTAAAGGGCTTTCCCTGGGTTTCGTGTTTGATTGGGCTGTGGAAGAATAACCATGTTTTCACTGCTTTTATGAAATAAACCTGTATCTAAAATAATGACTGTGCCCATCAACAGACTGGAGAAACGAAGCATAGTCCAACCACATGATGGAACATTACTCGGCGGTTAAAAGGAAGAGGATTCTGACACAGCTACAACCTGGACGGGCCTTGAGGACACAATGCTCAGTGAAATAAGCCAGACTCTAAGAAGGCAATCACAAATCCGCTGGGATTCCACCCACATGAGGTCCCTAAAGTCGACACATTCACAGTGACAGAGATGGGGGGGGTGGGAAGCGAGTGTCGGGTGGGGCCAGGGGCCAGGGCGTCTGCCTGCTAAGATGCTAAGGTTCTCAGGATGGATGGTGGTGATGGTATAGCGCCCTGCGGCTATACTTAACACCAGGGAACCGTGCGCTTAGACATGGTTAGGACGGTATGTTTCGTTACATGCATTTCACTGTAATCAAGACAGGTTTTTAAATTAAACTCCACGCGAATGCAGGCATTCCCACTGTGCTCCTGGCAGCTAGCAGCCCTGGAGGCTGAGGTGGGGGATGCTGGCTGTGGGGGGCACCCATGAAAGGCCTGGCTTCTTCCTCATTGGAGGTGGATACCGGGAGACCCTGAGACCACCATTAACCCCTTGTCTGACAGAGCAGGGTGTGGGGTCCCAGAGGAGCCAGGCTGCAGTCATTGGGTCCCACGGGTGGCGAGAGTCGGAAGAACTGGCGCGAGTGCCCCCAGCCCCACAGCCAGAACTGGGGCCTCCAATCCAGGGACCACGCTCCCTTGACCTGAGACCCTCTGGGGGCAGGAAGTGCATCTCTAAAGCCCCACACCTGTGCCTGGGCCCCACACCCTCCCTGGATCAAAGCTTCTGCCTGGAGGGGTACGGCTGGGCCCCAACTGAGAGGCACTGGGCTGGGGAGCATGTGGCGTGTGTGTGCGTGTATCCGTGTGTATGTGTTTATCTGTGCATAGTATATGTATCTGTATATGTGTATCTGTGTGTGCAGGTATGTCTCTGTGCACATATGTGTGTATATGTTTATCTGTGCATAGTACACATATCTGTATCTGTGTATGTGTGTATCTGTGTGTGATGCATATATGTGTGTATCTGTATCTGTTTATTTGTGTGTAGTATATGTATCTGTATGTGTATCTCTGTGTGGATGTATATCTGTGTGTGTGTTTATTTGTGTGCAGTGCATGTTTTTGTATGTATGTGCATCTCTGTGTATCTGTGTGTATATGTTTATCTGTGCATAGTATATGTATCTGTATGTGTGTATCTGTGTGTGTGGATGAATATCTGTGCATGTCTCTAGGTATATATTTATCTACGTGTAGTATATGTATCTGTATATATGTGCATCTGTGTATATCTGTGAATTTATGCATAATATCTGTGTGTATATTTGTGTGTACATGTTTATCTGTGCATAGTATATGTATCTGTATGTGTGCATCTGTGTGTGGAGGCATATATGTGTGTGTGTCTGTGTGTACATGTTTATTTGTGTGTAGTGTATGTATCTGTATGTATGTGCATCTGTGTGTATCTGTGTATGTGTATGTATGCATCTGTGTATATATGTTTATCTGTGCCTAGTATACATATCTGTATGTGTGTGTATCTGTGTGTGTGGATGCATATCTGTGTGTGTTTCTGTGTATATATTTATCTATGTGTAGTATATGTATCTGTATGTATGTGCATCTGTATCTCTGTGTGTATCTGTGTGTGCATGTATGTATCTCTGTGTATATATTTATCTGTGCATAGTATACATATCTGTATGTGTGTGTATCTGTGTGTGGAGGCCTATCTGTGTGTGTGTCTGTGTTTACATGTTTATTTGTGTGTAGTGTATGTATCTGTATGTATGTGCATCTGTGTGTATCTGTGTATGTGTATGTATGCATCTGTGTATATATGTTTATCTGTGCCTAGTATACATATCTGTATGTGTGTGTATCTGTGTGTGTGGATGCATATCTGTGTGTGTTTCTGTGTATATATTTATCTATGTGTAGTATATGTATCTGTATGTATGTGCATCTGTATCTCTGTGTGTATCTGTGTGTGCATGTATGTATCTCTGTGTATATATTTATCTGTGCATAGTATACATATCTGTATGTGTGTGTATCTGTGTGTGGAGGCCTATCTGTGTGTGTGTCTGTGTTTACATGTTTATTTATGTGTAGTATATGTATCTGTATGTATATGCATCTGTGTGTATCTCTGTGTGTATCTGTATGTGCATGTATGTATCTGTGTGGATGTATTTATCTGTGCATAGTATACATATCTGTATGTGTGTGTGTATGTGTGTATATGTTTATTTGTGTGTAGAATATGTATCTGTATGTATGTGCATCTGTGTGTATCTCTGTGTGTCTGTGTGTGCATGTATGTATCTCTGTGTATATGTTTATCGGTGCATAGTATACATATCTGTATGTGTGTGTGTCTGTGTGTGGAGGCCTATCTGTGTGTGTGCCTGTGTGTACATGTTTATTTGTGTGTAGTATATGTATCTGTGTGTATGTGCATCTGTGTGTATCTCTGTGTGTGTCCCTCCATGTGTGTGCACATGTGTGTGCTTTTCCAGATCATGGCAAGGCCCCGAGAGGGTGCCGGGGGAAGGCATGGCGCAGGCAAAGCCAGAGGGAGGAAGTGCTGAGCCTTGGGCGGGCTCCTTACAACAGCCGGCCCGGGGCCCTCTGGTGCCGTGACTCTGTGCCAGAGGCCTCTCTGGGCCTCATCTCCCGGCCTGTGTCACTCCAGGAAGGCAACTTGGAGAAGGCACCTCACACGCTAGGACTCCGGCTCCAAGAGCCTCTGTGATTTGGAGCAGAGAGCCGGGGTGGCGGCTGGGCCGGGCGCCTGCTGCTCCTCCCTCAGGCACCTCCTGCCGCCCCGGGCAGGCCCCCTGTCCCGGGCCCCCCACAGCCGGGCTCTTACCGGTGGCACCTTCGTGGCAGAGCCTGGGGTCGGCGGCCCTTCATCCCGGGGCGGTGACGGGCCGTGGGGCTCCATGTCCTTCCCTGCAAGACAGTGGTCGGCGTGAGGCCCGGGGCAGGGCTGCCCTGCGCACAGCAGGCCAGGCTCGGGCGCCAACAGCCTGGGCGGGGCAGGAAGCCAACCCGGGCGGCGGGTGAGGAACCAGAGATCTGATCAACACCAGCCAGCCACACGGCGGGGGGGCGGTCACCATAGGGAGGGGTGTCACCAATGGGAGCAGATGTCACTGCTGGGAGGGGGGTCACCGCTGGGAGGGGAGTCACTTCAGGTGGGGGGTCACTGCATGGAGGCGTCACTGCTGGGTGGGAGTCCGGGCACCAGGGTGGCCTGGCCTTCAGGGTTCCGCACGGCAGGCCCCCAGTTTGCAGGTCCAGGGCATCCAAACTACACCTGACCCCGTCCCACAGCCCAGTCCTCCAGCTGGAACCCCACTGCCCCCAGTGCCGGACTCTCGGAGGGGTGTGGGTGGACACTGTCCCCGCGCCCCTTCCCAGTAGGTGTCCTCTCCGGGTTGACTGAGGGGTGGGAGAGGGGCCTGAGGTGCCCGGACTTGATCCTGGGGTAGGTGGCTGCCCCACCCTCGGCTCGTTTCTAAAGCCCCGGTTCACGGGCAGGAAGAAGCGGGCAATGATCTCTGAGGCCACTCCCGCCCGCTTCCTGCAGCTGGTGGCTGATCGCCCGGTCCCTGCGCGGGAGCAGACGTGGCGATGACCGGGGAGAACCACACTGACCAGGAGGCGAGGGGAGGGCCCACAGAGGGCGGTGTCTGCAGACCCCCTTCCTGGGAGCCCTGGCCTGAGAGCCGCCCTCTGCAGAAAAGCCAGCGTGGAGGCCGGGGACAATGAGCCCATCCTGCAGCCGGGCGCGCTGGGGCAGCGAGGTCACCAAGGAGCACACGCCCCTGCGCTCGGCCCTGCGTCCCCTCCCCTGACCACAGCCCGGGGCTGGCTGCTGACGGGGGCCCCCTCCACGCCCCGGGGGCCCTGCCATCCAGGCGCACTGGATTCAGGAGCTGTCGTGGGGGGCCCAGCCTGGGGCCGTCAGGGGTCAGCCTCCCAGAGTGGGTGCTACCACCTGGCTGGGCGGACGCAGGGGCCCCGCGGGAGTGGGGTGAGGGCCGCCCAGCAGTCAGAGGCTGGCACCAGCTCCTCTCCCTGCCCGTGCACGCCTGCCTCCTCGCCCTGCCAGCTGCACCTGCCACCCGGGCCTGTGCCCTGGAGATCCGAGCCTCCCGCCTCCCCTGCGCCCTCGGGGCCTGAGTGTAGCAGCAGGGAGTGAATTTGGGGTTTACTTCCCTGGGCACCCCTCACGGGCTGTGAACTTGGACAAAGCGGCCTGTTTCCCCATGTATTTGATGACACTTTGGGTGGGTGGTCCTGGAAGCCCCTCAGGTCCTGACGGCGTGTCGGCCTGACACTCTCCTGGCTTCCTCCAGGGGCCGGAGGGGCTGGGGTCCCCTTCTCGGCTCCAAAGCAGGTGATGGGAGCAGCATGGGCAGGCCACAGGAGGCGAGGCCAGGCCAGGCAGCGGAGGGGGCCCCTCTCCTACCCCCTCGGGACCACCAGAAGGACACGCTGGGCTCTCCGGGGTGGTGGTCACAGACGCGGCAGAGAGGGCTCAGCTCAGCCTGCCAGGGGCAGGGCAGACGTGGGGCGTTGGGGTGGGGGTGGGGGTTAGTGCCCAGAGCTGTGAGAGTGCCGGCAGGCACAGGCGACCTGCGTGCTTCGTGCCCAGCGCTTTATCCCCAAGCACAACAGCAGCGGGTCTGAACCGTCCCAGCTCAGGGCCCAGGACTCCGCTGCAGGTAGCGCAGGTCCTAATATTCCCCCATTTTACAGATGAGGAGACCGAGGCCCTGCCACTGGACCGGGGCCGCCCAGCCTGAGGGCAGGGGGAGGTCAGGCTGCCTGGACCACTGCACTGCGCCGCCTCTGCAGGGACAAGGACCTGCCTCCAGCCTTGGACTGGCGAGCCCCCCGCTCGACCTCCACGGCCAAAGGGGTGAAACCTGGACCCCGCGGTCATGGGGCTCTCCGGCCCTACGAGCTTTCTGTTCATTAATCCCGCGGGTGGACGCCCCCCTCGCTGACCAGGACAGAACAGAGAGGGTGAGGGACATGTCTGAGGTCACACGGTCCAGGACCCCCGCCCCTCCCGCAGCCCCCAGGTGAGCGGTCCCCCTGTGGGCACTGACCTGGACCCACATCGAGCTCATGCTCTCCACCCACGAGCAGGTTCCGGCTGAGCTTCTGGGGGGTGGACGAGGGCGGACACAGCGAGAAGCGCCGTCGCAGAAAGGCCTCCTCCTTCATGGCGTGGGCACAGGGCGGCTTCTGGAAGGAAGGAGGGGGGCACTGGTCACACCTCACGCCGAGGCCGGTGCAGCCTGGGGCCTGGAGGCCACGGGCATCCTCCACCTGCCCTGCAAGGGGACCAGAGACACGCCAGAGTCAGGGGTCCCATCGTACAGTCAGGTCCAAAACGGGACACGGAGGGCCCGAGGGGCCTGCGAGGCAGTCACCCAGGAAGGCCGCGTGACCGAGTGCAGGCTTTCCAGCGTCCGAATCGGAAGCCAGGCCCCGACCAGCCAGTTTGGCCATCACAGCTTTGGCAGGACCGTCTGCCCTCCACCCAAGGGCTGGCGCTAAAGCGGCCCTGTCGGACCCTGGGCACGGAGAAGCAGAGTAGATGTGGGCCACCCACTGTCCCCTCCCGGGGATGGAGCTACAGGGAGGGCGGAGCGCTGCCCGAGAGGGGGCTGCAGGCGGGCGAGACAGGCGGCCCAGAGCGCCAGGGGTCACGGGCCTTGGCTGGCCTTGACCCCAGCCTGCCCAGCCCACCTAAGAAAGCCGTGAGACCACTCCCCGCACTCCCCTGCTTCGGCTCCTAGCGGGGTTTCCGACGTCTGCACCCAAAGCGCCTGGAGAGAAAGTGCAGGTGAGCTTAGGGCGAGGTTGGCCAGAACCCGCCTCCCAGCCCGGGAAAGAGGGGCAGCCGGGGAAAGCCCTGGGCTGCCCGCCACGCCCTCCCGGGTCCGGCGGCCACGCCCTCCCGGGCCTGCCTGCCTCTCGCCCACGCCCCTCGCAGCCCCACCCTGAACAGGGCCGGGGCCAGGCTTTCACAGTGGACTGCAGCCCGTTTTACAGTAGAGAAAATCGTGGTCCCCAGAGCGCTGTGGTCGCAGCCGAGCAGATGCTGGCAGAGCAGGGACTCGGCCCCGATGCTGCGCTCTGTCCTCTCCCTGAGGACGTACTGCACAGACGCTGGCTGACCAACCTCTCTTCCAAGCCTGGGGGTGCCCCCTGCCGCCTCCCCGGGTGGACTGAGGCTTCCTGCGAAGCCCAGGACAAAGGCCCCACTTTCTCCCACAGCCCTGGGCCTTCCTGGGGTGGGAGCAGCAGATAGCAGCCTTTCCTGCTGGGACAGTGGGTGCCTGGGTGGGGCTCCAGGAGGGGCAGGGTAGCCCCGGGCTCCATCTGCAGCCCCAGGACCTTCTCTGTGCTTTCCGCCCAGGGATCCTGGGGGACCCGAGGTGCAGCTGGGCCTAGTGCCCGCCCCGCCCCCCTCCCCGCTTCCTCACCACTGCAGTGTCACCTGGCCAAGCTGGTTACCTGCACTGTTTTACAGACGGGGAAACTGGTTTCAGAGAGGTTGGGTATTTTATTTTTTTGAGAATCATCTCAAACCTGGCTCCTGAGTTCCCAACCCCCACCCCCATCGGTTCAGCTAGGTTTCTAGCAAACCCACTGCCAGGGAAGGGGGTGGGGTGGGCGTCTGGGGTCCAGCCCCTGCTGGTCGGAGTCCTGGTGGACACTCACTGCTTGCCCTGGCTTGTCTCAAGCCAGGGAGCCAGCACCTGAGAGGTGGCCCTGCCTTCCCACTCCTGCAGCTGAGCTCTCGCAAGCACTGGGCTGGCAGCCAAAGTGAGTCAGACGCACTTCTGCCCGGGGGCCCCAGGGTGCACGATGAGGGATGACACGGGTAGGCTGCCCTCGCCGGGAGCCTCGCGTCTCTCAGGGGTTGAGTCTTGTAAACTTGGGGCGGGCAGAGGGGCTCCTGCCCTCAGCTCCCAGATCTGGTCACGGGCCCCGGCTCCACCGGGGTGGGGGGGAGGGCACAGGGGCCCCTGGCTGCCTTTCTCCTCAGGTCCTACAGCGTATCTTCCCCCGGCACAGATAACAACCGGGGACCAGTGGCTTCATTGGTCTGGAAGCCCACATCTGCTCGGCCACTCCATCTTCCCTCCCACCTTCGCTCTCTCCCTTACACCCACCCATTATTCCACACATCCATCCAGCCACCTTCCTACCTGCCTACCTGTCCATCCATTTAACCAACTTCCTAACCATCCATTTATCCAATCACCCATCCATCCATTCATTCATTAATTCACTCATCCATCTATCCGCCCATCCATCCATCCACCCACCCATCCATGCACCCACCCACCCATCTACCAATCCATCCATCCGTCCACCCACCCATCTACCCATCCACCCACCACCCACCCATCTACCCATCCATCCATCCATCCATCCAATCTCCCCCCCACCCACCTCCTTGAATCTCTAGATAGCCAGTGAGCAGCCTCATTTCCTTTCTTCCCTTCCTCCCTACTTGTCCAATAATCAGATACATCAGAGGTGACATCGTGGCTGAACTGCTGGCCCAGAGCAGACACCCCCAATCCAAGGGCAGTGCCAGGACGCACCTGTGGATACCAGTTCTGTGTCCTGACTCCCCGGACCAGGCGCGGGCCCTCGCGGACCCCCCTGGCCTGCTCGGACAGTGGGCGTGGCTCCCCTCCAGCAGGGCCTCATGGGCTGCGCAGAGCCCACCCCTGGCTGCCGTCCATGGTCTCCTTTAAGGCCGTGGAGGCGGAGACGCTGCTCTGTTCACTCCAGAGGTGCATCCAGGCCCGCTCTCCCCAGAGCTCATCCCTGCCTGCGGAACACAGTCCGGCCTCTGTCTCCTGGTCCCTGTTTTCCAGGCCGTCAGGTCCCCGGCCCGCCCCTCCCACCTCATTCCCTGCTGGCTCCGTCACCCACGCTGCCCCAGCCACACTGGTCCCCTTTATGCTCCTCACACATGCCCGTGCCCGCCGGGGCCTCTGCGCGGATGCCGCCCCCCCGCGCCGAACACCCTCACCCACATCTCCGTCCGTCCGGGTGGCCGGGCCCTTCTCGAATTCCACCCTCCGATCAAATGTCACTCCCCAGAAGGCTGCCACCCCCCGTCTCACACGATGCCACGTCCCCGCGGCACAGTCCAGGTGGCTGCAGCGGCGCTCCGCGTTCCTTCCTCTGTGTTAGCTCTCCTCCCCCACAGGACGCAAGCTCCAGGGAGGGGACAGCGCTGTCCCTCCTGTCTGCGGTGTCTCCGCACAGCCAGGCCCAGGGACTGGCAGGGGGCGTGAGGCCTCGGTGGGGGCGGGGGGGCTGGGGTGAAGGAAGGCAGCCCAGTCGCTCCTGGGCTGAGAGCCTCCTGCTCCTCCGTGCGTCTCGGGGGGACCTCAGAGAGGCAGTCAGGGTCGGCCTGGGGCCCATTTCCACGGCAACCCTGGTAAGGTTCCTCCTGCCACGCCTGGTGCAGCTGAAGGATGAGGCCCTGCCCTCCAGGCACTGACAGGGTCTGCAGGCCCTCGGAGGCTCCCAGCCGGGAGGACCGCTGGCCTGATGCTGGGCTGACCGAGCCCTGGTCTGCGGGTCCCCTTGTCCCGGGGAAAGCTGAAGGCTCACAGCGCTGGGAGGGGGAGCCAGTCCGTGAGGATGGAGGGAAGGAAGAACAGATGGGTGAGGAAACGGACTTCCCAGATGAGCCAGCGGGAGCCAGGACCGTACCGGCGGTGGGCAGCCCTCTCCCTCTGCCCTGGCCTGGGCGCCAGCTGCCCAAGCACTCAGGGCACTCTCTCTGGGGGGCACTCTCTCTCTGAGCCCGCCGTGGACACTTGGAGCCTCGATTCCTCCCACCTGGGCTGTCAGAGGCCGCCGTGCGCCTTCCTCTCGTTGGCCTCTCTGGCCTCTGATGGCCGGGCTGAGCCCTGTGATAGTAACAGCCTCCCGTCCCGTTGTGGGACGACGCTCCACAACTGGCTCTCGGTTGACAGCGCCCAAATCCTTCCCCCGTGGCCGTGAAGGAGGCTGATCCCACCATCCGGCTGTGGCTTCGTCTGGCGCTCACGATCACGGAGTCCAGGGGCCTGAGAGGACACTGTGGGGCCTGGAGGGACAGCGCCCAGCACAGCCCGTGTGTGGGGCCCTGATACCCCGGTGAGGAGCCTCGGGCGTTTCTGCAAGGGGAGCCCCAGCCCAGAGACGCCAGGGCCCCCAAGTGGGGGCTCACCGTGGAGGCCGGGAGGCCGGAGGCGGTGGGGAGGGGGGCCCCGTGTGTCTGTGGCCGAGGATGGCCCATCCCCTTGGAGCACAGAGGAGGGTCTGCAGATCAAGAGCCCCCGGGGAAGCCACTGCAGCTGTTCCGCTCAGACCCACAGCCTGGGAGGGCACAAGCCGCAGAGAGGGCGCAGGTGTGGCCAGCTTCCACCCAGCTCCGCGGCGGGTGGAGGGGGCCCCACCCAGCAGGCAGGACCCCCAGCCCTGGGGGTGCAGGCGGGGGACAGCGAGGGGGGCCCGGGAGGGGAGGCAGCCCTGACTCCTGGCTCGGCCCCCTCCCCCGCCGTGGTCTGAGCAGGCCCCTCAGTTCCGTGCTCCCCCCGGGGCGGGAAAGCGCCCCAGCATCCGGGGCAGCTGGGTCCCACGCGGTGCCGGCCCAGAGGTGGACTACAGGTCAGGCTCTGAGCTGCCTGGCCCAGCCCCGTGTCTCTGAGCTCCAGCACCAGCTCGGGCACCTGGCAGGTGACAAGCTCTCTGTCTTGAGCCAAGGCCGAGTGGCCAATAGCAAGGCCGGGAGAGCAGGCCCAGAGCCCACAGTGTCTACCTGGGGGCCCACACACTGCCTGCCCCGACCTGCTGGAAGCTGCCTTCTGAGCAGTTCTGTGCCTCTAAACGCTGTCCCCTCCCTCACCCCCCGACGCCCACCTTCCAGCCAGAACAATGCGATCCTTGTGAAGAAAGGTCACTGGGGCGTTAGCGGCTGCACCGGCAGGACGCGCGGCCCGCTTTTCCGGGGCTGGAATCCGCTGGGCCACAGTGGACTGGGGAGGTGGGAAGGGCTGAGGCTCTGAGAAGGAATCCCACAGAACCCCCGGCTTGCTCCACATCCCGCTTGGCGGCATGGAAGTGGGGGGCATCCCGCCTTGCCTGCAATGTCTGCATGGCCTCTGTTAGGTCCCTATTTGCGATGGGAGGTTGCTCTGAATGGAGGTGATGAAGTCCCC